CCCCCCTCTTTCTCTCTCTCTTTCCCTCGCCTTCTCCCTCCGTCTTCCTCCATTCCTTCAAACTCCTTTAGCCCTTAACCCTTYCGTCGCCTCTTCCCCTCCATGGCATGTGACTAACCTYTACCCTCACCTGTTACATTGCCAGGGAACGAACGGGAAGGAACTTGGTCCTCACTTGGTGGAAAGCGAGGGCAAGGGAAGGGCAGCCGGTCCCTTGTGCCACCAAGAGGGAGAGGATACGAGGCTATTGGGAACATTTGAGAAAACGAAAAGGAGTGCTGTTTTTGAACGAGGTCAGTTTGACTCAACCACCTCTCCCGACTGCATGACTAAGGTGAATGCATGGGCTGCTTGAGGGAAGGGAGGGGCAAGAAAACCAAGAGACCATCGAAGGGAAAAGGAAACTTAGACTCGCAGGAAGGGGCGATGTGTTGACCCCAATGGGGATTGTGCTTGGACATTTGTTTTTGTGTGGTCATGCGCAGGTGAGTAGCTTGGGATTATTCAAACGGGCTGGATCCACGGATGAGGACTAGAATGGGAGATTTGGCTATGGGAAAGGACTTGGACCCGGCTTAAGTCATGGGTGTGGGTTGAGTTTTAGACCCGAGCTTGGGTGAATGTTTGATGCATGGACTCGGCTTGCGTGGGATTGCATGGAATGTCTCTCTCATGTGCGATGCGACGCCTGAAAAGACTAAGGGCGGTCTTTGGTAGGTGGATGTGATGCTAGCGGTTCTTGAAAAAAAAAAGAGAATATAGCGGCTAGGGGTTCGGGCGACGCGGCCCTACCCCAAGGATGTCGCCGGGGCTGCCGAGGGCCGCTAGGCTTAGTGAAAGGGTGCGTGGCCCAATGGATGACGCTTGGCCTGCGCACGATAAGAAGACGAGATCTCAATGAACTCCCTGGACTGCCTGCGTATTGGAAGGAGCAATTGCCTGGTCAGACCTTAATGAATCAAGAAAACGTCACGAGTGCCGAAAAACTACCATCTTGACGCGAGAGCGGAGCTACATCCCCCAATGTAAAGCCCTCTCGCAAACGGCATATCCCCATCCATCTCATAGCACTAGGTGGGGGTGCCCCTGGGACGAACGACCCGCGCCCTGAGCGTGAGCGTGGGCGGGTCGAGCCAAATGGGACCCGCAGTGGGGTCGACCAAGGCTCGAAACTCCTTCAGGGTACGGCCCCTACAAAAATGGTGGAGGTGTCGGGTAATGGGTTAAATTGACCCATACGGTCTCGAGGGGGGCGCCCGACGCATGACCGATAACACAAACATAAAGATAAGGAATATGGACTTGTGTATGCTCTATCCTTTGAGAGAATCAGATTTGAGGGTGGTTGGGCGCATGGCAAGGCCAGACCTGGAGGAAGAACATGCGTGTTTACACTTTTACTCAGCCGTCTCCTTTGGAGATGACTCTAGTCCTCCTTCCCTTGGACTAATGTTCGTCAGGCCAGGGAAGCCTTGGGCAAGCCGCAGATCGACCCTTCCTCTTCGTGCGAAAGAAGGGCTCCGGTTACCTGGCTGGCGGTTGGGATTCCGGGCCAGTCCGGGTTCCACTAAAAATCCCGCGGCGGAGCGATCCGACCGACCAGGGTGCTTCTCTTCTCCTCTTCGGAGCCGAGCGGGGTCCGTGCACCGCAGTTAAATGCTTGAAGGAACCTCATATGAACACAAACGGTAATCGAGAAGAAACAATCCTTCCCTATGAACGGACACACAAGCTAAGATAAGGGAATGAAGGGAGTTGCTAGACTCCAAGAAAAACTAGCTCACCTTTGAAAACGCTCACGAAAAAGAACCGGGCACTATGTATGGAAGTTAGGGGTGAGTGGCACGCACTGTCCTGAGTGAAAAAAAAACTGTGAGCGATGGGTAGGAAGCGCTGGGTGCAACTGGGGAAAGACACTTGTGTGATGTGTGTCCCCACTTGGGACTTGTGATTGCATGATTGGGATTTCGAGCATCCTGCCATTCGGAAGGAAAGGATTGGTTTGTGCCGGCCGGCGCGGGATGCGAACTAGTCGTCCTCTTTGAAGTTCACCGGGTTCCGTGTGTGGGGGTCGGGCCACCGGGCTGTCAGGCAAGGGTTGGTCTCGTCGGCTGATTAGTAGCATTCTCACCCGAGCGGTCCGAGCATGGCTCAATGATCTTGCCCAGGTGGGGTGTGAAACATCTTCAGGCGGGGTGACTACTTGTCGGCGGACGGCAGGGGGACCACTGCATATGGGGCAAGGAAGGAGCCTCGGAGGCGATCAAAAGCTTCTCGTAGCATGGCTTGGAAAAAGTTGTTCCTTATCGGACCGATGGAAGTGAATGCCTGGACGGCTGGCTCCAATGGCCCTACCGAGATGTGCGGGGTGATTCCCAAGATTAACGGTGGGTACACAAGCGGCAAGTCGGGATGGGGTATTCTGGGTAAGGAGGAAAGGGCGAATGCCTTGCCGAGACCTGGGTACCGCGCTCACGACGGTTGAGCTGTACTTGAGGTATGGGGTAAAGCCCTGCCGATAGAAACAGTGGAGAGACCATTTCCGGGGAAGAGGTCGGTGAGGAGATGACTGACCTGTGTGCGACGTTTGCCTGAGTTTTGCCTTTTGCGCCTCCCTCTGTAAAGTTTGCCTGATGAATGTTGGATGGGGACCGAGTCTCTAGTCTATTCTCAACCTCCGCCTAAGTCAGCACGAGTGAGAGAACATGAGGAAGAGGCTGGATAGGAGTCGGGAGAAGATGGAACCAAGAAGAAGGAATGCGGGCCACTGGCGATCGATTGGGGGTACGATGGGACAATGACACTTGGGAAATGGATAAGAAAAGTTAGGGAGACCCGGATGAGGGGTCTGAAAACAACTCTCATCTAGGAAAGGAAAAGCAAACCATCTGACCATGAGGGGGCCGTGTGGTGCTCTCATGTGGAAAAGCAGGGTAAGCGCCGGGAAAACAAGATGGCGCGATGGTTGTTGCCTCTTGTCTACTCTAGTGGTCCGGAAATGCCTATAGAGGTAAGGGATGGGGTATCCGTTGTTCTCCCGGAAGAAGGGACGTGGACCGACCTAGAACCAACCTATGAAACCGTGATGCTGGACAAGAAGGACGTGGTCCTTTGGATAGAGACAATCTGGACCAAGGTCAGCCTGACAAGACTCTCACCCAGCTTGATGGACCTAGAATTCTGGGAAACGGTGGAGGCCCAAGGGTGGATCTACCTGTCTCAAGAAATGGAAAACGCAATGGTAGTGGGACTAGTATTGGGCACGACACCGGATCAGCTGTTTAGACAAGCAGAACGGGAAGTGGTGTGGGCAGCATGTCAGCGGACAGAAATGGAGATGGAGACGATGGAGGTGCGAGTGGAACTCGGGGACCGGAAAAAAATGAGACGCCCCCTTAGGACAATGAGATGCGTGCTACCCCCGTTTCTGGTGGATGCAGTCTTTGGGACCAGGGGTAGATTGGAGCGGATATGTCGGTCAATGACGCGCCTGAGGTTGTACCAAGGTGCTAGGCAGGACTTCTTTAAATTATCGGTGGAAGCAGGGCCGTTCGAAGGAAACTGGGTGGAAGAATCGGCTGAGGTGTTAAACCTCCTCAGCGCGGACGAAATCTTTGTTCCCAGCCCGGTGCATTGGCAGATAGTTTACCGAAACGTGGCAGCGGGGGAAAACTTCTTGGAAGGGGTGAAAGAGATGTTCCTAGACGAGGAAGAAGATTTCAGTGATGAGGAGGACGGGGACGAGATAGAGGACTGGGACTTCTAAAGGGGGGCTTACCCGGGGAAAGCGGGTTGTCGGCTATGTGCAGGCAGGGAACGATGGCTCGGGAACTCGAATTATGGGGCTGCACATGGGAACCAAGACGAACCGTAAGGGGAGTAGAGATGTCAATACCGCCAAGTAATGAATGGAAGGGGACCACGTGTGATTGGTGGGGGTATGAGAGTGTGCCGGAGTTGTCGTACCTATGGATAGAGCGTGTCTGGAACCCGTTGAGGGAAGAAGAAGGATGGGAAGAGATGGCGGAAGGAAGGGTGGAATCATTCGGGACGGTCGTTCTCTCTGAACAAGGTTGGCACCTGTTCTGCACAACGCTCGTAGTGGGACAGAGTCCAATGTGGCTTTTAGGGGACGCTGAGGCAAAGGCTCGGCAGGCTGGAGAAAGGTTTGCTAACAAAGGTTGGGATACGGTCAGCAGTAGAGTCGTGATGGGAGGATGGAAGGAATTTAAACCACCTGGCGCCCGAATCAAGACCTGGGTGCCCGAATTCGTGGCCGACTGGTTTGGGGGTTTTTATCACGTAACAGAGGTAGCCGACACGATGGAGCGAGTACACATAAACTGCACATGGCTGGCAGAGGAATTCTATAGGACATCCTTGAAATACGGGCCCTTTCATGGCGATAGAGCCCAGGAGGTCCTTATCATTTTGGATATCGAAATGAATGACCGGCAGGAGGCGGCCCCGGAAACTAGGGAGGCCATAATTTGCCGTGAGGTAGCAGCAACACCTTGCTACGTGGATGATGTGTTCAAACTGTTCGAGGTACTGTGGTTCGACTAAAAGCAGGAAAGCCGTGGGGCCAGGCGAATTTGGGAAAAGTTGCTAAGACAAGGGAATGGGATGTCTGACCATTGTAGGGTTCAGTGCGGATCACGAGCCAGGAGATCAAAGGCGAGTGCGCGATGGCGCGAAGAAGGACGTTCCTTGAGGAACGTCCCTTGGGCATTGAACCACCTAGGGAAGTACCGGGTGGGGTAGAGGTTAGCCTGCCGGCGGCAAGTGAAGGCTGGCACCAGGTGGCAGATTGGGTCGGGGTCGAGCTTGCGGAAAATATGGTTTACTTGGTGACGAAAGTTGAGTGGCATGCGGCCGAGAATGGGGAATGGAACCCGGACCCACGGGGGCACGTGCGTGCAGAAGGACGGTTGTATGTGTCGGAAAACGGATGGAGGGAGTTCGGAGTTCGGCTGGCATCAGGAGAAGACCCGTTGAGCATGTTTGAAGGGGCATGGCAGTTAGTATGGCAAGCGGGATTTGAGTTCGCAGATCCGGGGGTTGACGATGTGACAGCGGACCTTAGGGTAGCCATGGTTGGGAGTTTTGAATTGCCTAGTGAAAGTGAGGTTGCTACCCTTCTTGCTGGAAAAATTGGGCGGTTTGGAACTTGTTAAACAAGCAGTAGCCGATCTCACAAGCCTGACATATGAAGAAGCGATGGTACATCGAGAATACTACCGGGCCTTCTTAGAAATGGGGCCGTTCAGCGGAGAGCAGAAGTACGAGGTGCTGCGCATCCTGCGTGCTGTGTTTAGTACCAGGCCGAGGGTTCCGGTCGTGGGAAGTGAGGTCCTGTGCGGCGTCGTCCGACGGGAGATAAACCAAGGAATGGCGTACGTAGATGATCTGTACCGATTATATGAGCAGACAGAGGAGGGGACAGGTCGGTAATAGGGCCAAGGAGAGGGGAAAGAAATAGAAGGGGAAAAGAAGTGTCAGGCTAGGAATCGGGGAGTTGTCCGGGCAGAAAATTGAAGACCAAGGGGAATAAGTTAACTTGCGTGCTGTTTAAAACTGTGCAGGGGACTTTTAAGTCGGAAATGACAATGAGACGCGCCCGGATGCCGCGGCGACCCATGCACCCGCGACCACCCACGGAAAACAGAGGTGGATGGGAGGTGTCACTCCCAGCAGGCTAAGCGATTCAAGGATTGGATGCCGAATGGAGAGTCGTGACCCTGGGAAGAGGACAGGCGTTCATGATGGTGGAATGTTTGTGGGATGGTATGAGGATTAACAAGGGACCGGGGGACGACCTGTATACTGATCTTAGGGTGACGGGGACTGTATACCTGCCGAAGCTTAGATGGTGCATGTTGGGGACAGAATTGGCACTAGGGCATGGGTTGTTGTCAATCTTCCAAAGGGCTAGTACGTACTAAACTGGGTAGGCCAGGAAGTGCGAGGGAGAAGAGATGTGGGGTTAAGGACTCGGGTGGAGGTAGGAGGTTGGCGAGAGTTTAAGGCCCCAATGACCGGGCTGAGGTGCCGAGTACCTCGCTTCATGGTAGACCTGGTATTCGGCARCCTCAAGAGGGCAAGGGAGTTGGTGGACTCGACCCTGGTCTGGATCCACCTCTTCCGACCACAAACAACGAGCATGTTCTACGATGTGTCGGTCAGACATGGACCGTTCTGGGGGAATCAGGCTTGGGAGCTACTCGAATTACTCGAGATTCTGATATTCGGATTGCCCCACCTGTCATTTGAAGAATATGAGCCAATAATTATCAGGGAAATAGAGCTGGGGGAAAATTACCTTGCGGGGGTGGCGGACTTGTTCGAGGAACCGGATGAGCAGGGCAGGCCTGAGGGACCAGCATGAGAAAAACGTGTCAGGGAGAAGTAGGGAAATAAAGAATGGGTACTAAGATAAGTAGGCAGCCATCAGCAAAAGAGAGGCAGTGGTTGGAGTTCCGGCCGACCCAATGATACGGCAGGGAGGAACTAGGAAGACCACCCGCCCCAAAGATTATGGGGCACCTGGATGCCAATAAGCCGAAAAGGCCATCCCCGATAGGAAAGCCACTGGGCTCAGGTACCGCCCCAAGGATCAAAGCACGGCAGTAATGAAATGCCAAAGCGGCGGCGGCAAGGCTCCCGTAGAAGAAAACCTGAAGGATGCCCTGGGAGAGAAAAGTCAGAAGAGGCGTATTGATTAATGTAAGACGCGAAATATGGGAATAGGCGGGTTTTAGGGACGGGACTAAGGGCGGTTATGAACAATCGGCCGCCTTTTTGCCAAAAAAAAATTCATGTGCAGGCTAGGTAAAGAAATGGCGATGGAGGAAGGGATCAATGACCAGCAGAGCGGAGGGAATCAGGGCACGAATGGGGATGGGGAGCGAAACGAGGGATCAGCCAGGGATCGAGAGTCAGCCAAACTGGAGGGGACTCGAGAAGACGGAAAGGACGCCTCAATTGGAGAAAGCTCGGGGAAAGTTGGGGGTAGCAAAAGAGGACCTCAAGAAAACAGGGAAGGGGGAAACGATATGAGAACAAGTCCTCGGAACTCAGCAGGAGCCACCCCTAAAAAGACGAAAGTCTTGGATACCAGTCATAAACTGGCAGAGATAGAGAAGCGGACCGCGGAATGTAAGGCAAAACTTATTGAGCAGATGATGGCCGGGGATGAGGAGGACCCCCAGGACGCAGGGTCACGTGAGGGAAGCGGGACCGGTCAGGATGAAGCTAGGTATGAGGGGAAGGATAATAGTCACAAAGGAACGCCTAGCAAGAAGGGAAAGGACAAGAGCGACCCCCATGCGGAAGGAACGGAAAACGCTATGACCCCACCCGCCATTGACAGCGGCACTAGCAGACTACCCGCCACACCGAAAGTAACAGGGGCGTGCGACGGACTCTGGAGCCTTAGGGAGAGCGTGCTAGGATGGTTCGACCCAGAAGGAACACCGAAAATCAGGGAAAGGCAGAGGGAAAGCAAGAAGGGGAAGGAACCAGTGCAGCCGGGGAAGCGGGTGGCTCCGAAGACGGTCTCAAGAAAGTAGTCGCCACCCTCAACAGGACACTGAACAAGAACCAGGGGTACCTCGCAGATGCAAAAAAGAAACTCACGTTCGACGGGGCCAACATTACGGAGTTTCTAATAGACTATGAGAACCTAGCAGCCTTACTGAAATGGACGGAAGAGGAAAAAATGGAGCACCTAGGACAGCATGTATCGCTAAGTTTGGGAAGGGACATTATGACCATCGTCGCCTCCAGTGGATCCTGGAAAGAAACCAGGAATGAGATGATGAGGAAATACCTGAAGGCAGAAAAAATGGCAACAGAGGCAGAATTAGCCGCAGTCCAGAGGAAAAACTATGCGACCTACAACGATTTCCTGAGGGCGTTCACGTTAGTGGCTCTGCGAATTCCCGGTGTAACGGACCGCATAATGAGTAAATACTTCCTCAGGCAGTTCTCCGAGTTTGATAAGGATAAAATTTTGTCAGCATACCAGCAGACCAGTAAGTTCGAATACACGAGAGATGTGGATTTCAGCACCGTAACAGATCTTGCGGAAAGGTCATAGATCTGACCGGGAAGACAGGGGATAAGGTCAAGAAGGGGATAGAGAGCCTGCATGAACGAGTGCACGGGGTTGATAGTAAGATGGACAGAATGGAAAATGCTATGTTAGTAATGCAGGCGCAGATGTCCAGACCCGCCCTCCCGCCCCAAGAGGCCGTGGTTCCGGCAGCCGTAGCAAACCGGGGGTCTGGCAGGAGGGACCCGGTCAACGAACAACGCAAGTATTGCACCATGACCGGGCATTTCGTACGGGCCTGTTCGAGACTCAATCACGATATCGAGCGGCAGAGGTGCAGTAGGTCCCTCAAACGCGAGATCCTCGAACCCAGGGGGAGCGTGTCGATTGGAACTCGCCAGGAGGGATGCGGCGAGCCGTCATTCTCCTTAATAACCTAGAAATAGCTGCCGTAGAAGCAGAGCCGATAGCCGAGCTTGTCTGGGACCAGCCAAGGGGACGGGGACCGCAGGCCAACTTTATCCTAGAAGGCAATGGCCAGGACAGGGTTGCAGAAAAGAAGCTTGTGCAAGATACAGTAATGGAAGAATTCGCAGGGACTAGCACGGGCTAGCAAGAGACCGAAGCCGGGGAACAAGAGAAGGTCTATGGGAAGCCAAGGGAGGACGAACTGGTAAACAAGGCTACGACGACAAAAAAAAAGTTCAGGTATCAAATTCCGATCCGGACTTCGCCAGAAATCGACGGCACCTTGAGTAAGCTACTGTGCACCATGGTATCGGTGTCTTTTCAGACCATGCTGCAAGCCAGCCCGAGGCTGCTTAAAGGACTCAGGCAGTTGCTAACGCGTAAGCGCGTAGAAGTAGAGGAGGCCCCGAAACTGCAAGAGCAGGACACGGAAGAGGCCGAGGCGCCGCAAGGAGTCTCCAACCTCCAAAGCATTCCAGGGGGCCTGGGAGATTTGGAGAAAGCCTTTGCGGACATCCGCCTAAGCCTACCGGATCGTGAAGGTGGCGAGGTCATGAGAGCGCCACCCGGAACGCTTTTATGCATTTTCAGTTGGGAAACTCAAAGTTCAAATCGGAACTCACCACACTGATGCGTTAGTGGACGGTGGAGCAGAAATCACCCTCATACGACGAGATTTCGCAACAGTCACGGGGTGCACGGTAAACAAGGAAGTAGCAGGGAGTATCCGGGGAGCCGGTGACGAAATCCCTTTCACATGATATGTCACCAAATGTGCAGTCAGGGCGGGAATCCGGGAATCCATCTGGTCTTTTCAGTGGATGACCGTGATGGAAGAAATCGATCACGATGTAATCCTCGGGAGACCATGGTGCGCCAATGTGGAAATGATAGGAATGCACCTGCACGACGGTACATACATGGTAGACATAGAGGATCCGGTGATTGGTCGCGGGGAACTCCTCCGACTCCTCGAAACTGGAGGGAACCCTCCGAAGGGCAAATTGGCAACCTGGTCGCCAACATTTGAAGAAAGTCCACGGAAGGGGGCATTCGCAAGAATGGAAGGAATGAGGGAAAGGGTAGAAATTATGATTGAGGAAGCTTTTAGTAAAAAGGAATGGATCAAGATGGGCTTGCCCGTAAAGAAGAGGAGGCCAGAGGACGAGTCCCTGGAAGTGATGGTGGCAGAAAAGGAATCGGAGGTCGAACTTGGGGCCAGCCTGCCCAAACCAAAGGAAGGCCGGAACGAAACGTCGGAGGTAGTGCTTGAAATCCCAGATTTACTACAACTTGTTAAGGYSATCAGGTACCACAAAGTGGGGGTGGACCTYGCAMCGYTTGCTAGATTTGAGGATGGGGTTCGAAAGGGCTACTGTCTGAACGGGAAGCTAGTSAGCATCCAGCCCCGCGTCTTGGAGGTAGCAAGGCCGATCCCGACCGTTCATTTTTTAGGAGAACGATCCCCGAAGGTAGTGTGCGAAAGTATAAACCCGTAGGCAAGAAGGCCAAGCCGGTCTCGATCCTGGTAGAAACGTCAAAGGAAGAGACCATGGAGAAGGAAGAGGAAATCCTACGGGTTATAAGGGAAAGGAGAGCAGCGGAAGGGCATCGAATACCTGATGAGGTAACAAATATTATGAAAATAGGAGTGGAAGGGTTCTTAACAGCAGAGGAAACTCAATTGATAAGAAGGGCGTGCCAGGAGTTCCAGTTGGCTTTTGCGTTCAATGACCACCAGAAAGAGCGATTGGACACAAAGCTAGTTCCCCCTGTTAGGATCCACACGGTCGAGCACAAATGTTGGAATGACAAAGGGCCTGCCTACGAGTTTGGGATAGCAGCGGAAGTCACTGATCTGCTTAGGGCCAAGATAGATTCGTTTGTGGCCGAGCCCACCGCATCTCCTTACGCAAACAAATGGTTCGTTTTTCGGAAGCCCAATAAAACGCTCAGATAGATCCAGGATTTGCAGAAGCTCAATGCAGTAACAATTAGGGATGCAGGCTCGCTCCCACAGACAGATTTGCTCGCCGAATCTCACACTGGCCGAAGTATTTATTCCTTGGTAGATCTGTACTCAGGGTATGATCAGTTGCCGCCCGACGCAAAGGACAGACCGTATACCGCAATGCACACCCCGGTAGGATAACTGCAGATGCAAGTGACCCCTATGGGCTTCACAAATGCGGTAGCAGAAGCTCAGAGGAGGATGCTCGCCGTCGCAGGGGATATGTTTCGGAAAAGTGTGAACCTTACATAGATGATAATCCCGTGAAAGGCGCAAGATACGAAGATGAGACGGAAGTGCAACCGGGAGTGCGGAAGTTCGTTTGGGATAACTTGCAGGATATTAAGGACTTACTCCAACGATTCCTAGTCTACAACATTACTGCAAGCGGACCCAAGAGCATCCTGGTCATCCCGGAAGTAACCATATTGGGATTTCGCTGTGGAGCTTATGGGAGGAAACCCGATCCAGCAAAGACTGATAAAATCTCTCAGTGGCCGACACCCCTGCGTACCACGACGGAAGTATGAGCCTTCCTAGGGGTGGTTGGGTTTTGGAGGATCTTCATCAAGGGTTTCACAAAGATAGCAGAACCCATCCGCGCAATGATTAGGGAAGGTGGCACTATGGATTGGACCGAGGATAGGGAAGAGGCAGCCCAGACCTTGAAAGACATCCTGTCATCCGATCAAGTCACGTTAGCAGCTCCCTGTTTCAATGACGAGGTAGGACGGCCCTTCATCTTAGAAACAGACGGGGGACCATTGGTAGTGGGAGGGGTATTGATACAGAGAAGCGAGGAGGGCAAAGAAAGACCAATCAGATTTGAAAGTAGGACCCTGAATTCAGCAGAGCGACGGTATTCGCAGTTCAAGAAGGAGGTCTTAGCAATCCTGCATTGTCTTAAGACCTTCCAGGCATACGTGTTCAGGAGGCGATTTATCCTAAGGATCGATCCCACTAACGTTGTCGGAGCCCTAAAGAACTACAAGCCCATAGACCCGACTGTTGGCAGATGGATAGGCTTCATATGGCAATTCGACTATAAGGTCGAGCGAATTGCAGGGTTTCGAAATAGGGCAGATGAGCTGAGCAGGGTTTGTATTACGCCAGAAGGAGTAGAGGACGCAGAACCAATTGATGCCTTCCTGGAGTACGAAGGAGGGACCCTTGTCGTAGATAATGAGATGGCAGATCCGGCAATTACAACAGGACAGTTGCTGATTCAGATCTTGGAAAAGGGCGCACCTGCGGTAGTTGCAGAACTCAGGGAAGGACCAGTCACCATGGTCAGGCGTAAAGAGGAAAAAGACTCGTGGGGAGCGGAAGTGGGGGCCAGAGAGGAATTGATGGCAATGGCCGTGGAAGGGGGACGGGACCTAGGCGCAGAAGGAGTATCAGTACCTAGTTAACCTCACTCGGGAGGAGCAGGGTGCGGATCAGAATGAACAAGAATTCTTCCTCATACAAATGTATGAGGGCGTTTTTAAAGAAATCGGTTTGCTGCTTGTAGGGAACAAACAACCCACGGAAGTCAGTCCCAAGGCAAGGGAGGAAGTAAAAAAATACGTCCTAAGAAATGGCCACTTGTTTAAGAGAGAGGAAGGGATGATGCCTAGACGCGTCGTTTGTGGGAGATCTAGGCAGCTGGACATAATTCAGGCAATGCATGATGGGCTAGCTGGGGGTCACCGGTCGTCAAAGGGGACACTTGCAAAGATTGTGCCCCTGTACTTCTAGCCAGGAATGACAGGCATGGTCGCAGCGTATTGTCAGACATGTCTGATATGTCAAGAGAGGAGCGCCGTACGGGTTTACGAGCCCCTTAGACCCACCCGGGTACTGGGACCCGGACACCTTGTTCACCTCGACCTTGCCATTATGCCCGTATCAACGGATGGGTTAAGATACATCTTAGATGCAGGGGATAATCTCAATGATTACGTAGAGGCCGTAGCCCTCAAAAAGAAGACGAGGAAAGCAGTGGCCGATTGGGTGGAAGATTTCTACCTAAGGCACCCTTTCATGCGCAGGTTTATAGCAGACAATGGGACAAAATTCGTTAACCGGGAGGTGTTGAACAGGCTTAAGACACTGTGTGTACCGATCAAGATCACCGAGACCTACCATCCTGAAGCAAATGCACCAGTAGAAAGGGGTCATCGGACTTTAAAGAACACAATCGCAAAGTTGGCAGCACATAACTTGGAGTTGGCCAAGGTATCTCAAGCAGACAGTCTTCGCCGAGAACATGACTCCAAAAAGAACAACGGGATGTATTCGAGCAGAATTCTGGTATAGAAGGGAGATCGATTTTCCGATAGAAGCGTTGGTCCCTACCTGGAACAGGCTAGATGACGACCCACACCTGAGGACGGAGGAATTAATCACCGCACGCGCCAGCAGGTTGCCAGGAACGAGGAGGCATTGGAGGAAGTAGTTAACCGGGTAACAGATAGCCGAATGAGGGATAAGGCAAGATGGGACCAGGTCAAGAACATTCTGAAGGAGCCACTCCAGGTGGGGGAGAAGGTGCTAGTTAGGAACTCGGCTCTTGAAAGCACATGGTCCGGGCAGCTGGGGAAAAGATTCAAAGGGCCCTACAGGATCGCTAAGCGGGTGGGATTAAACACATTTGAACTTGAGGATCTTGATGGTACTAGCATAAGAGGGTCATTTCCGGGACAGAGATTGGTCAGATTTTTGAGCAGGGATCCGGTGGAACAATGGCTACAAGAGGCTCGGGATATGGAAACAGGGGAAGTCACAACTTGAAAGAAAGACAACTGATTGGGATCCTTGGACCGCCTCCCTATGGGAGTGATCATGACCACAAGGGTTGTTCGTTTGTGTGACCTGATTTTCTGTGGAACATGGGGAGACTGTCTGGCTGAGTTTGCATGGGGTTGGGAGTTTGGGACAGTGTACTATAGTTTTTATGGGCAACTCTGGGGGTTGTTTACACGAGGAATCTATGTGCTGGGACAATGTACCATAGTTTTGTGGGGCGATGATGTGGAATGCCTACATAGGGCACCTACGTGTCGGGACAACGTATCGAGGGTACAAGGGAGGATGGGATCACCAACTGCGCGAGGGCAGGCAAGGGTTTTGAGGAGGCCAGCAAATCTACAAATGGGATGAGAAGGAATGTGAGTATATGGGAAGGGGGTTGTGGTGATTGTTATGCATGAACAGGACCAGGCAGGGAGCAAACAGCAAACAACCAAAAATGAAATTCGGAAAGCAACGCCATCAACAGGCCTACTGAGGGACAGTCATCGAGGCAGGCTGGAGAATCAAGCTCCAAGAAGAGGAAGTTATACGTGGGATTTGACCATAATCTGGTGGTAAACACGGGGGGCAGGAAACAAGGAACCAGAGGGCCGTCACCTCTAAGGGAAGGGGAGCCAATAGAGCTGCCTTCAGACAGTGATCCTAGCAGTGAGGAAGATGGGAACCCAGAGGAGGGACAACGGCCGGGGGAAAATGACCCAGTGGAGTTCATCGACCTCACCAGCGATGAGGACGAAGATGAAGTGACAACGCCCACAAGGGAAGAATGGGGAAGAGGGGAGCAGTCGGGTGAGAAAAAGGATAAATGGATAGAAGAGTTCGGGTACGAGTTCAAAGATTGGTTCGATCAATGGGGTACTATCCTACGATACCAGTGGATCATGAAGGCAAGGGAAAAGCTGGGCAGGGGAGAAGACTTATCCCCAACAACCTTCTTCTCAGAAGGAACGCTCCTTCAATTCCAAGCAATAAAGAGGCTAATGGAGCAGGAAGGACAGAATCGCGCAAGGAGGGAGGCTCAACGCAGGCCACCTGGACATTAGGGGAATAGCAGGTGCAATGGGGGGGGGGGTGTAACTAGAAATTGGGAAGGGCTGGTACCTGGGTAGGGACAACTGCCATTTTGAATTTCGCATTTGAACTCTGCCAAATGGACTGAAATGAGGCAACTTTTGACTAAAGTCCGGACAATGGGTGCTACTTCGTGTAAGTCGTTGCTTTTTTGGGAAACTACATAAGGATCAGTGCACTTAGATATAGAACTGTGACGGGTTGCGTTGGCTAAGAGTAAGTAAGGGGAAAACAAGGGGGATTTAGATGAGACGAGTCTATAATGTTATCATTGCATTCGAACTTTGTCTCCTTTTTCTTGGGAAGGACTGTAATGAAACTACTTTTTGGACTGAAGAAACTATTGGGGGATGGGAGGCTTGTGCTGCTTTGTATGAGTATTCGCTTCTTCGGGGAAAACGTGAACTTTTTTTTCGGTAGTAAGAAACGGACTTTGGGGGATGATTGACTTTGCTTCGAGGAAATAGGCAGGGGCATGTGAACTCTTGAACATTGGAAGATGCAGTCATGACGAGAGTTTGCCTTTCGAAATTGTGTATCCATGATTGAATGAGTCGCTCCACGAGTCCTTGTGAGAGGTTAGGGGACCTATGGGTAGAGAGGCACCCTCTCCCCTAGGAGCCTAATCCAACCTACCCCAGGCAATCCCAAAACATTGAGAAGCATATGAGAAGTCAGAAAAGTGCCAGGGAAACATTGAAATGATGCAACACCCCTTGCAATGATTGAACGGTCGGGCGGGCTAGTGCTGCTTGGGGCCGCGAGCCTCAACTTGAGTATTAGACGCTAAGCCGGATGTACCCTAATCAGGCTGCCCAATTGAAATGGATAAGGATGGTCCTAACCAGGCTGTCCGATTGCAATGGATAAGAATGGCCTAACCAGGCTGCTCGACTTGAAAGTGGAAAGAACGACCCTAACCAGGTTGTTCGCAATGGCCCCTGACAAGGGTCATTCTTTGGAATTAGGCACTGGGGTCCCCTTGCATGGTTGCTTATGAAGCATGGAATTGGAAGAGCTGAGCTTTGGAAAAGGTATTGATGAGATATTGAGCCAAGTTTGAAAGAGACATTGAGCTCGGCCTTGGATAAAGATTGGAAATATCTAAGAATGGAAAGGATATTGGACTCAGCCTTGGAAGAGATATTGCACTGAGCATTGGACTGAGACTGAGCATCAGAAAAAGATTGCGCATTGGAATTGAGTATTGGAAATTGCATTGCATAAACAGGGGACCCTAGGCAACTTGAAATGGACTTGGAAAGAACTGGAAATGGATTTTCTCTTTCTTCTAGTCTTTGGCCTCAGCAAAAGGGGGATACCGATGCATGCATCGCGACCCCAAGACCTCTGTCCCTCTGAGGGAAAAAGTCTCAGCGCGACCTGCTCCTCCTTTAAGAGGACGAGGGTTAAAGGACTAAGGCACCCACCACTTGGATCGGTGCGGGACGTCCGGAACCACCTCCGACAATGAGCTCTAGTCAGGGAGTTCCAACTGCGCCTCCTGTTGAATGCCTAAACGTCAAAGGGCGAGAGAGCCAAATGGGCAGGGAAACCATTCTCAGCTAGTCTATTTTGCTACTCTCCAACCACACGCCATGTCATAGAGGGGTGGCATAGCCGTTTGGGTCGGACCACGGCTGCCCGCACTAAGTTGGGCGGCACTGTCCAAGGGGAGAGGTCGGGCGGAGTACCGGGTGGAGTCCGCGGCCACCACGGGGCATTGACACCGCCCCGCCGAAGCATTACAACCGCTTCGGGACTAATTGCGAGGTCTTCATAACTGCACTCGCGAACTAATTGAGAGCCCCAACTCTCTCGAAAGGAAGAGGCCGGAATCCAAAAAATCACCACTCGGGAGGAACGATTCGCGAGGAACACTCTTACGGCTAGACGAGACCCTGGCAGGCTTGGATTGGACCTACCTGACAGACGTAAGGAGAAACCTTGGTATCGGTGCTCGCCACGTAGGAGAAGAAAGGTCGGACCGAGTAGGAGGATGAGGCGTCGTCCGCTGGGGAGGAACTGATCACTCTTCCTTTTGTGAAGCGGATGGGTTTGTGTCCTTGACTGCGGTTGGTGGGCCAAAGGTCTCGTACCTTCGAGTGAGGACCAGTCGCGCGATGGGGACATCGCATTTTGAGTGGGGGCAAGGTGTGCCATCTGCCAATCAATACGCATGGAAAAAGACTTGTAATTGGTTTTGCATGGGCTTAGGAAAAAGGGGGCCTGTCAAGATGGCCGGAACAGAAAAAGATTGTAATTGGCTTTACATGGGCCTAAGGAAAGGGGGCCTGGCAAGACGCCAGGGCAGAAAGGACTTGAGCAAGTGACATGGCATGGACCTGAGAAAAAGAGCCTGGCAAGACAACCTGGAGGGAAAGGATTGATGAGATTGGTTCTGCGTGGGCCCGAGAAAGGAATTGGCAGATTGGGGAATGGTTGAGGGATTGGCTTGAAAAGAAGGGCCTAGCTAAGGAATGGGTTGAGCATTGCATATGGAAAGATAACCGAGCAAAGGGCAAGTAAGGACAACAGAGTGATATGCATGCGGAATTGGCAGGACTTGAGAAAAGCCGGAAAGAACAGGCAGGGAGGGATGCATGTGGATTTGGCTATGCCTGAGCTTGGGGAGAAGAAAACTTGCACCGAAAATGTGGGGAAGCCCTAAGAGTAATAAATGGAATGAAACCGGAAGGATGTCTACTCAAGAATGTTTTCTCGATGAAATGGGAAGATAGATTTGAGATTACGAATGCAGCCTTCAAGATATTGTCGAGAGCGAGAAATAACGTACAATTAAAAACTAGCTGCAGGACATGTCTGTGGTCGGACCCCTCCAAGGGGCGGTGCTAGTCAACTTGATGAGGGAAAGAGACAACAAAACTGCTTAAGCTCCTTGACGTGTTGCTAACTCGCACCTGGAGGAAGCCATGGCGAATGATCCTTGTGACATTCATCGCCAAAATCTTCCTTTTACCTCGGTTCCTTGGAACGGGGGTGATGGGCACGTCGCCCTCTCTCTCGTGAAACGATACGGGAAGTTGTGGGGAAGCTCTTGGGTATTTGGGAGTTCCAGTGAGAAAGAGATACAACTGTGAGACGGACGTTGATGCACAGAGAGTGTTACGCGCTCGTTACAAAGACATTATTGACCTCTCCAATACCCTCCCCCGCCCCAAAGGGCGGAAACTTAAAGAAAGGCCCAAGGAAAGAATGGGAAAAACAAAGAGAACCCTGGCGAGCTAATTATCCATCCCACCCCACTCCTCTCCCCTGGCTGTCTATCCCTCCAAAAATTCCTACTGACTATGGATTGGTGCGCGATGAGGACATCGCGAATGAGTGGGGGGAATATGTCGGGACTGGTGAGTCCCGAATGAATTCCCGTTACTCAAGAGACTGTATATGACCAATTTGTGCACGACAGAGAAAACCGGGGGAAGGAATGCTGGAAAGATCGGAAGCGTGGGCACAGACAGTAGGGAGCTAGAGGCTGCCAAGAGTCGTTAGGACCACCAAACTAAAAAAGGACTGCCTTAGTGGGAAGCGGTAAAAGAATAGCAGAAGCGACTCCTTCTCCCTTCAAAAATTCCTACTGACTATGGATTGGTGCGCGATGAGGACATCGCGAATGAGTGGGGGGAATATGTCGGGACTGGTGAGTCCCGAATGATTTCCCGTTACACAAGAGACTGTATATGACTAATTCGTGCACGACAGAGAAAACCGGGGGCATGAATGCTGGAAAGATCGGAAGCGTGGGCACAGACAGTAGGGAGCTAGAGGCTGCCAAGAGTCGTTAGGACCACCAAACTAAAAAAGGACTGCCTAAGTGGGAAGCGGTAAAAGAATAGCAAAAGCGACTCCTTCCCCAAGGACGGAGGAGGGCCGCCGAGAAGTCGGAAGTAGCATAGGGGGCGCGCGGCGAGGGAAGGAAAGAGGTGTGGTGCCGGCAGAGCAAAGTGTCGGGGGTCACAGGGGACTAAGAAGAAGTGCGGTGCCGGCGGGGCTAGGTATCGGGGACCACGCGGGATCAAGGGACGGCGTGGTAGCAGCAGGACGAAGTACTAGGAACCACGTAAGACCTAGAGATAGACGAAGCGCAGGCGGACCAAAGTGCCAGGGACCATGTGGGCCTAGACGAGATGGTGGCACCGGCGGAACCACTAGTAGGGCGGGTATCGATAGGATAAAGCATCAGAAGCCGCGAACGGGGGCCGAAGGTGGGAGCCGTCGACGGGATAGCCCGAGAGAGGGGTGCGCGAGTGCGGGTCGTCACCCAGGGTGACGCCGGACGAAGGGGAGGGACTAGGAGCAGTAAGAAAAGGAGGAAAAGTCGGGCGCTGACAGAAGTTGTCGACGGAATGGGGGAGACGGGCATGGGACGAGAAAGACGGGGGACACCTGGGGCGATCCAGGGGGATCCTGGATCAGATGCAACGACAACGATAAAAACAAAAATAACAAAATATCAGGTGGACGGGACCGCCCGGGCCAGAAGTCCGGATGAAATTAATAAGTACCGCCGCGGCAAGCGCCGGCGGGAGGCGCCGAGGGGAAAAGAGAAGAGGGGGGGGGATAGAGGAGGAGGAGGCCGACCAGCAGTTCGGGTTGTTCCAGGCCTGCCAGGCCGAAGAAGGAGAAGTTCCAAGGGCTCCACGTGGAGAAAAGGCTGGCCGGAGAAAAATCGGAGCAAGGCAGCCTTGATCTGGAAGCGGCGGCGGCAAAAAGGAGCCCCATTGGACCTTGGGGATGCCATTACTGCAGTCCGGGGTGTAACGGCCATATGCCAGCTGCAAAATCAGACCTTGGGAAAGGTCCAACAGCCAGAAAGAGAAGAAATAGCTGTTGGACACTTGTCCCAACAGAAATAAAAGAGGAAGGAGAGAAAAAGGGGAGGAAAAGGGGGAGAGTGAGACAAAAGAGGAGGGATGAGTGGAGGAAAATGTGCCGCTAGATTGGGACTGCAGCAGTAGGGATGGGCAGGTCCCAATGATGACCTCATCCCTCCTAGATCTTAGGAGTGCAGTCCGGATTGCAGAGATAAGGTCCTTTCGGCATTATCTCTGCAATATCTGAATTTAAGCAACAAAAATAAAGAGAAATGCTGATGTGAGTTGGCTGGCTCATTTTTGGACCTTAGATCTGAGATCTGATCTTGCGGAGGAGGAGATCTAGCCGTTTTTTGTGGGCTGACACAAAACGGCTAGCTCCGGAATGAGTTGGCAACAAATTGGAAGGAGAACAAAGAAAGGAGCAAGACAAAACTGCAAATTTAGCCCAAGATTTGGGCCAGGTACATCAAAAAAATTGAAAATTGAAGCAAAAG